CATTTCATCAGCAAGTATACCATTTAAATTATTATTATATAATGAAACAAGCCATTCAAGACCTTGTAATTGATATGGTTTAAGTTGTCCACCAACAAGCATATTTGATTGTTCTGTTATTGGTTCACGTATACGATGAGCTATTGAATAATATGATTCTTTTGCATCATATTCATCATCTTCATTTGTTGCAGCTATTTTAACAGCATCACGTATAGCTTCATCATTACCCGTTTGATCAACAATTGGACTAAAAAAATAAATAAATATTTCCAATACATAACACAAGGGAATTATAAAATAATTCAAAATTTTCTATATTTTATAGAAGCGACTTATTCAAAGAATTTATCAGTATATATATATATATATATGATTTTCCTAAGTATATTTAATCTCCAGTACGATCTGTCAAGATCTACTAGTGTTCTTTTTAGTGTGAAGGCTAAGAAAGCGGCGTACTTCTGAAGATTATATTGACTCTGTTGAAGTTTAAAATCACCTTTTCAGAAGAGAAAATCTATATAACATATTCTACTGAAACTATGGATACAAATAAATAAAAACAAAATTATTTTCTAATTCATTTTCCTCATGTTATAATTTCGATATAAATAGACTTACGTTGGTTTAATTTCTTCATCAGTTGAATGTACATTAATAATGGTTGTAACAGATTGTTCCGGTTTATCTGAAAGTGTTTTAGTTGGTCGTCCACGTAATCGATTTGCTTGTTGATGTTGTCGTACTAATTGTTTAAGATTATCAATATAAGCATCGGTTTGTGATAATAATAATGCTAAACGTGCATCTTTTTTTTCATCAACTAATTTTCTGTAACCTTCTTCATCTTCATTCATTAAACGTTTAATACGTTCTTTTTCTTTACGTTCTTTTTCTTTAATTAATTCACGTTCATTATTTGCAAAATAAGCTTGAATAGCTTTATTCATTCGTGCTGTTGATAATGTATAACGACGATGATATTCACGAAATTCACGTGCATGAGTTTGAACAGCATTAAGAAATTCTTGATGTTTAGCACGTTGACCTTGTTCGATTTCAATTTGACGTTGTCGTTCGTACTGTTCAGTTGAACGTGCTTCACGAAGATGATGACGTTTTGGACGTTTATACGCACGAGGATTAAGTGCTGTCTGTATTAATGTATCTTGCTATTAGAAAAATAAGAAAAAACAATGATAATAATAGAATAAATGCGAAAACCTCGGATTTAAATCCGAGTGTTATGTGTACTGCGAAAAGTGAAGAGATTTATTCACTCTTTTCTATCAACTGAGCCATATTTAGCCTATTTGCTTTTTGCATGTAGTTTTTCTGCATTTTGAGACATTTTTCATGGGATGTTTTGTTAGAAACCTACGATTTGGTTCAAAACTAATATCAGATTCGGAATCAGCGTTAAAAACTGAGTCGATTTATATATGTTGTGAATAATTCGGAGAAAAAATTTTTTTTTGAAAAAATTCCTGTACCCCCCCTCAGGGATGGTCTTGGCAATAATGACAATTTTTTCGATAACTCAGCCATTTCTTGACGGATCCTGCTCATCTTCGAACTAGACCGAGACATTGTTAAGACTGAACTGTGTAGAAAATTTCATCGCGATTGGACTCTCCTTTCGAAAGTTATCGTATTAACGGCCGGACGGACACACTGACCGATTTTAGAGTGTACTCACTTTTTGAGTACACAAAAATAGAATATTTAGCTTATAGAAAAAAAAGAACAAACCTTCATAGTATGAAGAATTTCACTACGAAGTTGTTTTTGAAATTGAAGCAATTTAAGTGATTTAAGTTCAATTAATGCTTGTGTTCGTAATTCAACACTCATTTGAGCTGGCATATGTTCAAGTTCTTGTAGACGATTTGAAATACGATTAAGAACACTAAATAGTAAAGAAAAAAAGTTATAACTTATCAACTTAATGTAACAAAGAGCTAAAACTTGCATTGCAGAAAAATAATATAAAAGTTCTTGTTTCATTTCATTTAGTTGAACTTTAATAAGTTTACAAGAATAGAAATTTTTGTGATAATGTACTCATCCAAACGGATTTCTTTCATTAAAAACTATTGAAAACAGTTTCTTGTAACTTTAAGAATGAAAAGAAAGTGATCGACTAATGTCAAACGATAATTAAACCTTCAACGTATTATTTTCATTTGGAAAAATGATGTAGTAATGTTCGAAATATATTAAAAGACTTTAGAATACTTTTTCCATAAAAAATGCTTGATTTTGACTGACGACTAGCATTTATTTTTGTTATTATTAAAACTTCGAATAAAGTCAATCGTATCTTTTGAATATTATTCTAGGAAAGAAAAACTAAAAAAATATTCCAACTCACGAGAAAACATATCCAATTGTTAATCACCAATCGAAGTAATATTTTGCTCATAAGTAGAATTTAATAAAACTAGGAAAAAGTGTATCAAATAGAAAAATTAAAAAAAAAACAAGAGTTTTTCACATCTAAGCTTTTGTCTATAAATAGGTCTCTTGATTCTTTGAAATTTTCAGTCAAGTCAAATGGTTCGTTATGAACATATTGAATAGTGAACAAAAGTTGACTTTATGATTTCTTTTTTAATATTCAATATTCTGAGAACGAATAATTCATTTTGACTAAAACTTTCAGGATAAACTAAAATTTCAAATGAAACATTCTGTTTCTTTTTTTAATTTTTTCTATGAATATTTTGCCATAAGATGAAAATTCGATAAAACCTCATAAGAAATGTCTATAGGGAGAAGTTCTCTTAGACTTTTTCTTTTCTCACAAAATCCTACTTATGAGAAGATATATCACTTCGATTGACAATTAACAGTTAGATATTTTCTTTCGCTAATACAAGATTTTTTTATAACAATCGAATGATAAAAATTCATTTTGAAACATAGCTTCTTACTGGTAATATTGAATTGAAAAGAAACTCTATTTTTCTATAGGAATTATTTGATATGATATTAATGAAAACAAGATGAAATATTTTCGGTACGTTCTCTTTTTGCAAGTGATTTAAAATAACAAAAATTTTATATATTTACCGTTTTTCTCGCTCTTGTTGAACATACAATGGATTAAGACTAATTGGATGTTGACGAATACGTGTAGGAATACCATCTTCATCAGTAGTATTCATTTCAGTTGATCCGACTAACCATCGATACATATTTGTTGCGGATGAAAATTTTAATGGCATATCACTATCATTCTGATGAGATTCAAGAATGATAGCTGTTGGTTGTATTATTTCAGATTGTTGTTGAACATGATTTTGAATTAAAGTAGCTAATTGTACTTTATATGAACATGATTGAAGTAAAGAATCTGACACAGGTAAATGACGAGCAAGAAGACGATAAGTAGCTATCTGAGATTTAAGAACATTGGCACGAAGATGATCAATTTCAGAATGATCAATTGTAATGACAGAAGCGGAATCATTATCCGCTGTTGCCATTATTTATTTATCTGAAAAATAAAAAATTTAAATAATTAATTTTTTTTTTCTATTTCAGTCAGCCAAACGTAAATCAAATGCTAGTTCTATAGGATTATCAAGAGGTAAAAAAAATCGACAACTGACACCTTTTCCAGTTCTTACTCCGGAATCATTTATTCCGAGTGCTACACCTAGCAATTATTTCTATCCAGCTTATGTTCCACCTCCTCGTACAGGAGCCAAACAATTTCCAGTCTTTACTCCTAATTCAAGTCTACCGTCGCCGAATCTAATCGAACCACCTATGATAAATTTTAATCATGAATCTGGTTTTCCATCAACACCTCGCTCTATTCCAATGCTATCATATCCAGAAATGAATCCTATACAAATGATGCAATCACCAGATCTATTGTATAATCCAACATTTACTTCATATCCAGATCGTCGTCCAATGCATTTTCGTGGTCGATGTCGTTCTCGTCCTATTATTCATATAATTGAATCAGATTCATGTTCATCAATAAGTTCATATTCACCACGTCGTCATCGATCATATTCTCATCCAAGACAACGACGAGTTATTCAACAACAAAAACAACAACCAATTATATTTTTACCTGTAAAATGTCAACAATCACCAACTACTATAAGTTCGCTTCAAAGACAATCACAACAAAATATTTTATCTACAATACAAGTTCAACAACAACAACAGCAACCACGTTATGTTTTATCATCGGTTTTAAATACAAATTCTACAGCAGATATAATTAATAATAATCGATCGACGTTTCAACCATCTACTTCAACATCATTTGAACAACTACAACAAAGTCAAACTGGACCAATACAATATGTTCAAACAGCACCAGAATTACAATTTATATCAGTAGAACCACGTTCATCAACAGCTCCCCAACATGTTTTTGTTAATAATACAAATAAGAAACAGTNATTGAAAATTCTACAGCAGTGAGTAATATACATGGATCGATTCAGTTTTCCATACTCGCCCCAAATATAATTTGAAAAATGAAGAAAATGATCAAATATAACCAATACTGCAATGAAGTTGAATTTTGTAGTAGATTATGATGTCTAAAAAAGCTAAGATAGACACTAGAGCGTCGAAGTAATATGATCTTGATTCACTTCAGCAATTCAGCACATGACCGAGTACTTTTTAGACTTTGTAGTGACATAGATAAGTCGTTTAACAACAGTCACCGAAAATACCCTCCTATTAGCATCCTACAATAAAATCGGTTTGTTTCTCAAGGAAAATTTCATCGTCGTCAGATTTGAATGTGCTATTTGAAATCGGCATCGACTGGTGTATGAATCAAAAAAAAAATTTCGATGATCTTGATGTCTTCTAGAAATAAAAAATGAAAGTCGTTTTTCGACAGCGAAAAGTACTTCATCTCCTAGGTCAAGAAAAGCGCACCGTTTCCGGTCGGAAGGTTCCAGACGACGGAAGAAAATTGGAAATAGGAATCCAATAATCGAATCTGATGGCTGGCTCTGTCTAGTTCCGAGAGGAACCATGAAAATTCATCGATCCGGTTCCCGGAATCATTGGCCTGAGTTTACTCAGAATTTCATGCTGATTCAGAATCTTGTCGATCCTTGTCCTTTTTTTATTAATTACGCTCATTATGAATTTCGATTATAAATAAAATGAAAAGAAATAGATTTCTAATACACAAATAATCTTATTATTCAACGATGGATAATAATAATAGTAATATTGATAATGAACAAATTCGTTCACTTACATATGAACTTGAATTAATGCGTGAACGTTATGGGAAATTAGTTGATGTTCATGGACAATTACAACTACAAAATAGTATATTAGAGGAACGAATACCTTCACTTGTTGAAACATATTCAAATGAAAAAAATCAATTAGAACAAGATTTAATTGATGCCAAACAAAAAATAATACATCTACAAGATACAATTGATGATGTAAAAATTGAAAATCAACGATATAAAGATGATTGTAATTTAGCTGTTAGACTTTTACAACGACATCCAAATGAATTTATTTCAACAACCACATTAGAACATATTCAAGAACAATCAAAAACGAATCGGTAAGGATAAATTTTCTATTCGTTTTTATTGACAATATGAAATAAAACTTTTATAGTGTATTTCAAATAATTAGAAATTAACTCATGCAACCTCAACATAGTGTCATAATACCTACTTTTCCACCAATATTTGTTACACTACTTCCATTGCTCAATATAACTAGTTCTTCATCACCAGTTGTTACTTCGACAATTACTGATAATCTTCATCTTGCTGGATCTCAACTTAAATTGAATACTGTTCATCATTATCCATCAAGTCATTTCATTTGTTCAAATTGTCATCGAACAATAAAATGTTGCAATGTAAACGTTCAAACATCTCTGAACGATCATGATGCAATATCCCGAACACGTACTGTATCTCTTATGGCATCTGATGAAGAACTTAATAGCGATACAACATTACCTTTATATTCAAATGAAATATCTCGAGGTGGGTGTGGGTTTAGAACTGAGCTGCGGGAATTATTATTAGCAACTCTCACACATACGCATACACCTACAGCTATACCCTCTAATCGATCACTGCATTTTCAACTATTTCAATCGATTGATAAAATTTAATCGATTAGACGGATTAGAAAAGAAAAATCTTTAAATCAGAAGAAGTCAAAAATATAAGGTTAAAAATCAGATGCAAAAAAGTACTATTGTAATCGATATTTAATCTGTTTCTTTTTTTAATGTTTTTTCTTGCATGGGAGGTCAATTTTAAATTTTCCTCAGTTTTCATTTGTTCTGCAATATATGCGTTATATCTACATTGGCAGCTCTTAACGCACTATTATATATCTCGAATGACTCATAAACCATGATAATAATTATTATTCAAGTTATAACTTGATCAAGTCATGTCTTTTATGTTGATCAAATGGCAACTGTGGCATATCAATGCATCACTACCAATCGTCGTTGAAATCTTAAATACAATTTTTTATCTGCACAAGAATAAAAAAAACTGCACTATTTAAAAGGTGCTCGAACATATTCCATCCAGGGCTACTGGCTTAACAGTAATGTTAGAAAAAAAAACTAACACTTTTGTATTACAATTAATAAAATATTTTGATGCATTTATATTAGTGTTTAAAAAATAATTTAATAATTTGGTATTAGCATTGAATTAAAATTGGCATTAAAGTCTTCAATTATTTTTCTTTAACACTAATACAAAAGCATTTAGTTATTTTATCAATTCCAACCCGAATGTATTGAAAATAGAATTGTTTAATACCATGTTGATGCAAAATTAGCACCCTTAATTCCAGTCATTTGAATTTAGCTGATGTTGCAAAAATTTTAGAATATCCTATAGCAATCTATGCCATGTTATTAACATCGTTCAGAGCCCTTAATCTCGATTGTTTATGTCTATCTAGGATGAGGATGAAGTGAGCCGCAAAACTTTGACTCAAAACTTATACACTCACTACTTTCTTTGAAAATAAATGTGAGTTTCACAAAAAATAAGAAAACAATACTTATGACGATCGTCTTATTAGACAGTTGTTTTGAATAGTCACAGGCTGTCTTTTTATGTCACATGCGGAAACAAATCCTCATATCAGAACATGCAAACTTCTCTATTGACCTTACATTTCTATTGCATGAATTGTAATACATACTAAGAAATGAGTTTCATTTGATTATAAACGCGTTCGAACTATACAAAATAAACATGTTCTTGAGATGTATGTTTTTTCGCTACAGGAACGAAATATTCTTGAACAAACTAAAACACCTCTATTGAGAAAGCATTGTTCTCAGTGCGAAACGCGTTCAACGTTAACATGTTAGTCATGATAAAAAAAGCGCTGCTCATTCGTAAAAACGCATTTGAACACTTCAATTTTAAAAAAATACGTTCTTAATCGTTCATTTTTCTGATTATTTTTCCATGGGTAAGGAAACAAAGCATTTCTAGACGAATGTATTAGAAACGAACAGTAATCTCTCCGTTCAAGAAAAAATATGATTGTGATTAAAGTAAAAAATCAAAATATAAAGTCTTCGTATAATAGACAAATGAATGATGCGAAAAAAGAAATTCTATCCAATTCTTATTCAATAAAAATTCAATGTCATAGCAGAAATTGGATGTAAATGCTTTCTTTATTATAGTATTCTTTTTAATATTATTTCAGTCGTTGATACATATGCAATTATAAGAATTATTGCATGTGTTTCATTAATATTTACAAAAAAGTCCTCATAAATGTTTTTTCCTCTTTTACAAATCGACATTAGAATATTAAGTTTTTTTTTGTTTCACACAATAAAAAATGTCGATTCAGCAATAAAATATACTGTTTTGTAGATAACGAAGCAGCACATAAAAAGTTCCCTATGATTGTATATGTGTTCATATTTATCATGGCTGAAAGAGTATTCCATAAAGCTAGTAGAAAAAAAGTATTTGCATGGTGTTTTTATTTTACAAAACGTTTAAAACCATGACTGATATGCAGAGTTCCTTGAACTGATGTGAAATCCAGAATCAATTACATCTGGCTAGAGTTCAAGTCCAAGAATTTTCTATCAATCAATCAAGTCAAAAGCTTTTGGACGCAACGAATTTCGTTCGTTTGAGAAATATGCAAGGTATGCTAGGTATTGAATAATTTACAAATCCAGAAAAAAATATCTTCTATCCTGAGAGTGACTGTCCTATCTCGAGTAGAAAATTTCAGTGAGAGTATCAAAGTATAGTTTAATCAGCTTGAAGTGACATGAACATCTTGCACTCAATGGATATTACTTAAAATATTTTCCAGACTTCAGAAATTTATTGTTTCAAAGAGTTCTAACATCTATTAACAATATTAAATTATTACACTACATTATTTCATTTAGCGATATAGAGAAAAATGTTAAATAGATTTAACAAGAAGAAAGAAAGAATATGAATAGGTTCAAATATTTTCAATAAAAAGTAATTTTAATTTATATATTCAAAACGTCGTTGTATTCTAGTTCGATAAGCAATGAGAGTCTTACGAAGTTGTTCTTTGTAAAATTTTGATGGTAATATAAATATAACAAATGTAAGCATAGGTGGAATAAATGAAATAAAATATCCAATAAGAAACAACCATGCATCATTTGTTGATTTCATACATTTCGAAATAAATGAAATGATTAAACGTGGTATTGCAAGAATAACTAGTACAACAGGAGCAGTAAATAAATGTTTATGTTGTCGAATTTGTTTAAATAACACTTCTTTATAATTTTGATTACTTCGAAGATTTGTTTTTTGACGAGATGTTTTCGTTACAAGCATAATAGATGATACTAGATTAATTATAAATGGACCTAAAAAGTGAAATGTATGGATAATAGAATTGAATATTCGTAAACTGGATGAATAAGTAGTAATACACCATAGTCGTTTATCATCTTCATTTTCTTCATCAATTAAACGTCGATGTAGAGGATCATAAATACTTGTACTAATTATAAAGATCAGAAGTATAATTATAACTATTTTAGCTATTCTTTTGCTTTTTTTCTTTCGAAAATGAGCTCCTTTTATCATTGTAATTGTTCTTTCAGTAGCAACACATGCATTTAGCCATTGATCCATATTAAGACAAACTCGTAAAATAAAATCGAAAAATAAACATTCAATTTGTAAAAATGATCGATTTGATAGAGTTGCCATTTGTACAAGAACAAGTATCCAAAATTTCAATCCAAATATAATTGTTGTAAGTAATGTAGTTATTGATGAACCTAATAAATACAAACCACAACCAACTTCACATGTAATTTTATTGTTAAATGTAATCAGAGATAAAATTCCATTTATAAATCCTGCAACTATAAACATTAAAGTTAATACTGAACTAATTATTACAATATTTGGCTGATGTATAAAACTAATATGTGGTTGAATATGATAACCTAAAATAGGATCAAGTGATAAACCAAATCCACTGGCACTAAATTGACATCGTATTCCATAAAAACAAGGTGGACAAATACACACTGATCTTTGTGGACAATCTGGACTGTCTTGAAAACATTGACCTTCATTTTCACAGACACTTTGACCGAAACAATCAAATTTCATATTATGATTAAATTCAAAACAATTGGCTAAACGTTGCTGTTCATAATCATAGCATAAACAAATATGACGATCGTCATAAAAGCACGAAAGTTCTGTTGAATTTCTTTGACATGGTAAATGATAATATTTGATCCGACGAAGAAGATGTATTTTAACAAATGTTTCATTAAATAACTCATTTATATGTTGACAACGATCTGATGGAGTTATCATTGTATCGATTGTTGTTGATTGTTCATAAGTTTTTTGAATAACTGCTAAATAATAAATTTTATTTTCAAGTTCAATAAAAACAAGATGAAATGGTCGTGACCAATAAACTATAAGTGAATTTTGTGTAGGAGGAATTGTTCGAAGAGTAGTGACTCTAATTGGTGCAGCATTAACAATAACTTCAATGAAATGAATAAATATTGATTGAGATAAAACAATATCGTTTCGAAATTTTAAAATTATTTTACTATCAACTTTTTCACATTGATCTCCAAAATAACCTATTGGACAAATACAAAGAACTTTTTTCTTGAACATCGAATATTCATCAGCTGAAATACATTGACCACCATTTTGACATGTTAAATTATTATTCATTTGACAAATTGTATCAACAAGGAGACATTGATAACCAAATTTATTAATAGGACAAACACATATAGATCGATTGTAAGCAGATACACCAATATATATTGAATCCGATGAACATGTACAAGTATGTGGAATAGTACAATATCGTCCAGACCATCCTCGATTACATTGACAAAAAGTGGGATTGTGCGGATGATTTGAATAAATAATACATTTACCATGAATACATTGGTAATTTGAACATGTTTGACTGTTTTTATTCTTACGTGGAATAACAGCTATAAATGCTAGACGTTGAATAGGTAAAACCAGAAATTTTATCGGAAATAATAAACTTCCACGATAACTTAATGAAACTTTTTCATAGATATCAATATGTATTGCATAATTTTTTGTTTGATCTTTTGGTCGAGTTGAGTAGAGTAAATAAATATTAAATTTAATTTTACAATCTCGTCCCGACAAATAAGAGAATTGTTCATGTGAATGAATTATTCTTTCTTCACTATCATCGATAAGTGAAATAATAATTGCAAATAATGTTGACCAAGAATCTGATAATGCTTGAAATTTAACAGTCAAACTCACTCGTTGATTTTGATATTGGCATTGATCACCATAAAAACTCGGTTGACAAAGACATGTATTTGTTGTTAAGTTCTTTTCATCGTTTAACCAGACACGTAAATCAATACCATGATGACATCGAAGTTTAGGCAGATGAACTAGCTCAATGTCAGGTGAACTTGAAAAGGCGGGCTTTATCATACTCTTCTTTTCATATTTAATGGCTTTGTTGCTTTCACCTAATGAAAAATATTTAATTGGTTGTTTTGTCTTTCTTCTTGATTCGCGACATAGAAACTGCTCGACATCAGAAGCGATCGATAAATAATTTTCATAACAAATACTATAAATTATATGACCACTGGATCGATTTTTTACACAAAATTGTTCATCATCTCCATGTTTACATTCTTTGTTCTCATTACATAGCTTGATGGAATCAATGCATAGACCAGAGTGGTCATCGATACAGAAAAAATTGCCGCTTATATGTGTATGAAAATCTCTGTAACATAATGTTGGTTCGTCAGTAGCACCCAGACAATCAATCTTACCATCATTTCCCTTCTCAACAGAGAGACACATAAGTTCGTTTGTGTGAGGTGAAACACATAGGTGATGATCTGAAGAACAATTTAATATTGAAGATAAATAACAACCAATTTCATCTTTACCATTCGGACAATTCCATATTCCATCACAACGAGTATAAATATTATTACATGACCATTGTTCACATTCTGTTTCATCGGTTTCATTTTGTCCTTCAATAAGTATTGGAAATAGTTCCGTAAATTGATCACAAATATTTTGAAATGAAATATTCTTTTTAACAAAGCTACCAGGAACATTTTCATCTTCACACCAATAAGGGTTACGAATAATAGGACAGTGACAAATTCCATCGTCAACATAAGATCGATGGATGTATTTTTTGAATATTTCGCAGTTGAAATAATTTTCTAGAAATTTTGATAAACCTGTGCTATTGATTTGGGCAATATCTTCGTCATCTTCTTGAGGACAATCAAAGTTAGTGTCCATAATACGACTTGTTGAGATACATTTCGACGAATTAGCACACTGATAAATGTTTGGTCCATCACAAATTGAAGAATTATGGTTAATTATTACATTGTATTTCTTCAGGTTTCGGAATAATCTTCCGAAAGGTATGAGAAGATACGGATACCATGGTTTTGGTTTAGCAGGTCCACGATACGGTGTCAACTTAACATGAAAACATGTTCTATTATTGAATACAATCGTTGTCTCATTAATAAAAAACTCATTGTAATGAGAATTGCTGGGACATACATAATACAACAAAAAATCTTCCTCGTGCATAGCTGCTAAATCATTTTTTCTAAATGCAAAGTAAATGTCACCAAAAAAAAGTGGAACATTCGGAATGTAAAACATATCTGGACATGTGTTGTTTATGATCTCTTTACATGGTCGATTTTCACAAATCTTGCCACAAGATATCTTTTCTGATAGTGGTATTTCTAAGATACATTTCGAAGCTGCCCAACATTGTTCAGATATAGAATTGTCTTTGATCGAATAGATCGCCATCATTAGTAGGTATTCGCGTTTTTCCATACAAGAATTTGTCAAGAATAAATTCTCACATGTCCTTTCAGTACATTCAAAAAATGTTTGACCACTCGTACAGGTAGATGAATATTCAATGCTCTTCCTAGATTCGTCGGAGCCATCTACACAATCAGGAGTTATATGGTCATCTCGAACAAATTCCTTTGGTATACATTGCCCATTAGTACATCGATATTCATTATCATTACATTCATTGATTTCAAGTTGCCAACAATGTTCTTCATCAAATTCACCATCGAGACAATCTACATGTCCATTACAAATTTCACTCCAATCTAGACATGCTGGAAATGGACCACGATTACATTGTAAATGAGTATAACAAGTCATATTAGTTGGATCATATTCATATATTAGATAATAACTCATTATAAGATCATATAATGACCAATTATGATGATAAAAAAGAAGTTCATATTGACACATAGAACCAAATCTTGGTAATGTACAATTAAAGAAAATTTGTGTTTCTAGAGATTTATCATATGATGTTGATATTTGGTTTAAATAGAATTGATAACGTTCAACGGTATTGATCGGTGCTGACCAAATGTATAATTGTTGACTAGTAATATTCTGTTTTGAAAGTTCAGCAAAGGTAAACTTTGGAAAGATACCATTATTATTTTCGATATGGAATTTCGATGGCAAATCATTCATACAAAAAGATATAATTTCACGATTCCATACACCATCTTTAAGATGAGTAGAAACACGCAAACAATCATGTTGTAATACAGTACTACTTTCATTTTCATTTATCCAATCTGTATAATAAATATTGACTTGAGTTGTTGCAAAAATGAAATGTAAAAGAATAAAATAAAATAGATATTTTATATGAAACATTATTAACTGCCGAATACAGTGACAAATGAATATATTAATGACTATTTATAGCGTTTATATTTATATATCTTATCATTTTTTGTTTCTTTTTCTCATATTTATAAACGTCATTAACAATTACTGATTCCATTAAAAGCCTTGATAAAATATGAACAAAGTCGTTTGCTCCTGCTTGATTGAAGTCATATCAACGTATGCATTTTCTGATAAAATTCTGAATAATTATAATGCCTGATGATTCTTCGTTAACATTCGTTTTGTAAGACTTTTATCTGTTACCCATTAGAGAAACGTACTCAGTTTTAGCATTCTATCTTATATTTCTTACATGTATCGATAGATTAAACAAAAACCATTTCAATGATCTCAAATAACATTGAACATATGTGTAAGGATAAAATGCAACGATTTATAATGAATTTCGTATAATAAAATATTGATGAAAACGAGCATTATTGATATAGAATCCCTGAAATTTTCATAGATGGATAAGAATTTAAAAAGGAATTCAAGAAAAATAGCGCTCGTCTGTTTTTTTTNGTACTCAAAGGGTTAAATAATATGCTGATTACCTGAATTATTAAGGGAGAACCCATAATTATCATTAATTATAGATAACCTTAACCGCACAAATATCCTAAATACAAATATTCATGCAATTTATACCATTAAATAACTAAAACACCATGTTTTCTATAGGTATTCAGTGCGCAAAATCCCAAGACGCACATGTGCGTCGCCCGAACCCAAAGAGTTAAGCAGTAGAGAAAAGATTACGCTATATTTTGTATGATTGTAGGTTTCGTGGTTTTCATTAGTTAATAAAAAGCTCGATTAAAATCTGATCAAAAAATAAGCTTTCTGAAAACTGCCTGAACAAAAGCGTGAACTCCTCAGCGTAATTTGTTATAAATATATTCTTTTCATTCCATTGTCGAGATTAATTATGCACAATTCTCGAAAAGATGACTTGTAGAAAATATCTACTGTCGACAATATATAAGACATTGTATGTGAAGCAATTTTCGAGAAAAGATGTATGGTTAAGTTTGCAAAAAAAATGTGGGTTAAGCATTTCAAAATCAACTATCTATTAAAATTTCAAAAACAATACCATTCATGCCAAAACCAAGGATTTAGCTTTGGTGCATGTCTATGTATGTAGCAACAATCTACGCCCATATCCACACACTCCAATGCAGGTCTCGCACGAGCAGGGGCGTGTAGGAGGGTAATATTTCTACGGAATTTTTTTGAACATAGTGTCTTACACTCCACCCCTAATTTTCGCTTCTTCGCACGGGGCCTGCTCCAATGAGATCAGATGAGTAGCTTGAGTTTCGTTTGTTTTCTGTCGCTTGAAATCGAGCGGTGTCAGTTTTCAAACCAGTTATCAGGAGAATGTATCATTAATGTTCTCTTCGTCAGTTAACCGATGAAAACAGCATAAATGAATTCGATTTATTTGAATTGTCAATAAATTTCAGTTGCTTCCCTATTCTTCATTGAGCATCGGTACTAACATTTCTTGATGTGAACAAATATTTTCGATGATATTTTGATTCTTGTGTCTCTTAATATTATCTTCTTCCGATAGAGAAATGTGTCATATAACATGTTTCAATTCATCAGGATGGTTATCGTTAATAAAACAGACATAATGTATAGAGATTTTTAATTCTTTTTCTATTTCCCATATTACTCATTCAAGTGGGAATAATTTTCCGTTAATCACTACAATTTGTTTTAGATTAATTCTCTGAATATTTTCCATAGACTCAATCAATATTTATATTATCTTACCATCTTGGAAAGAAACTTTTTTTTCTTTCCAAAAGCAAATAGATGATGATTCTGTCATCATTAGATCTACAATTATTACAGAACTTCAGAAATGCATCGCAAGTTTCCCAGGTTTTGCTATTGTTGAATCCGACAGAACAACATAATCTAATAAAAGTACTTGCTTTCTTACTATTAGTCTTGAAGGATCTATTATTAGTTGATTAACTGAGTTGGTAGGAAGTTAAAATGACACTACAACAATTTTCAGGATGGAACACGCCATTAGCGTACTTCTGAAAGAAGAATTCTTTTTGAACTTTAGCAACCGTTCAATATGTTAAAGCTTATTTGGTACTCAGATGCTGTGGATGTGGGTAAAAAGAAAAGAAATATTAACACCCCACACCCTATCAGAAGTTTTAATTTTGTCACCTATTGCGTCCATGTACAGTGCGCGCCAATTCATTTTCTCCTCTTCTCTTTTTTATCATTAGGCTGCTTTTGTTTTTTAATCTCATATATCGGGAGAAAGCCCCGAATGTGCTGCGTTTTATGATATATTTACTTTGAACAACAAGCATAGTTTGTAGTATGAAAAGTGTCACTTTTTAATTAGAACTTATACGCACATCTATTATTCATATCACAACAAAAGAAGAGTAAGTATTTTTTGAAATAAATTTTAACAGAACCAAGATAGAGCTCTGCGGTTTTTACCATTCGATAGAAGAGATAAATCTGCGTCGAATCTCTTCTTTCATATATTCGTGACAAACTTTATCAGTGTTAAATCACGTTTTCTGGAGGATGTGGAACACGCACACCCACGCCATAGACGCTACTTGTTTAACAATATTGAGAAAAATCTTAAACAATTTTAACCAGTAGAAAGAATGAATATGGATGGACTCATAAATATTTGAAATAAAATTAGTTTTAATTACGTTTATATAAACTGTTGTAAATTTCGTCGTAGTTTAGTTCGAAAAGCGATTATAGATTTATGAAGTTCTTCTTTGTAAGATGCTGATGGTAATACAAATATAACAAATGTAAACATAGGTGGAATAAATGAAATAAAATATCCAATAAGAAATAACCATGCATCATTTGTTGATTTCATACATTTTGATACAAATGAAATAATTAAACGTGGTGTTGCAAGAATAACTAACATAACAGGAGCAGTAAATAAATGTTTATGTTCTTGAATTTGTTTTTTTAAATGTTCTACATAAGTTTGATTAGGATGAACATTTGATTGTTGACGAGATATCTTTGTTATAAGAATAATAGTTGATATAAGATTAATGGCAAATGGAGCTAAAAAATGAAATGTATGAACAATAAAATTGAATAATTGTAAATTAGATGAATACAATGCAATACACCATAATCGTTTATCATCTTCAATTTCTTCATCAATTAAACGTCGATAAATAGGGTCATAAATATTAGTACTAACAATGAAAATCAGAAGAATAACAATAACTATTTTAGCTGTTTGTTTGCTTTTTTTCTTATCAAAATGAATAGCTGCTTTTATTGTAATTGCTCGTTCAATAGCAACACAAGTATTTAACCATTGATCCATATTAAGACAAACTCGTAAAAGAAAATCAAGAGATAAACATTGAATTTTTAAAAATAATTGATTTGATATAATTATCATTTGTGCAAGAAGAAGTATATAAAACTTTGAGGTAAATATAATTGTTATCAATAAAGTAGTTATTGATGAACCTAATAAATACAAACCACAACCAACTTTGCATATAACTTTATTGTTAAATGTAATTAGAGATAAAATTCCATTTATTAATCCTATTATCATGAAGATTATAGTTAATGATAAAGTAATTTTTACAATATTTGGCTGATTTATAAGACTAATATATAGTTGAATATGATAACCTATAATACCATCAAGTGATAAACCAAATCCATTCGAACTAAATTGACATCGTATTCCATAAAAACATGGTTGACAAATACATATTGATCTTTCTGGACAATCTGGACTGTCTTAAAAACATTGACCTTCATTTTCACAAATACCTTGACCTAAACAATCAAATTTCATATTATGATTAAATTCAAAACAATTCGCTAAACGTTGTTGTTTATAATCATAACATAAACACATATAAATATCATCATAAAAACAAGAAAGATTTGATGAATATCTTTGACATGGTAAATGATAATATTTAATACGATGAAGAATATGCATTTTAATAAATGTTTCATTAAATAATTCATTTATATTTTGACAACGATCTAATGGATTTATCATTTTATTAATTATTGTTGATCGGTTATAAATGTTTTGAATGACAGCTAAGTAATAAATTTTATTGTAAAGTTCAATAAAAACAAGATGAAATGGTTTTGACCAATGAATTATGAGTGATTTTTGTATAAAAGGAATTGTACGAAATGTCGTTGTTCTCTTTGGTTCATTATTATTAATAACTTCTATGAAATGAATAAATATTGATTGAGATAAAACAATATCATTATTAAAAGATAAAATTATTTTATTATCAATTATTTCACATAGATCTCCAATATAACCTTTTGGACAAATGCATCGAAATTTTTGATTCAATATTGTATATTCATCGGCAGGAATACATTGACCACCATGTTGACATGTTAAATTATTGTTCATTTGACAAATGGTATCAACAAGAAGACATCGATAACCAAATTTATTAATTGGACAAACACATACAGATAGATTGTACGCAGATACACCAATATATATTGAATCAGATGAACAAATGCTTGTATGTGGGATAGTACAATATCGTCCAGACCATCCTCGATTACATTGACAAAAACTAGCATTTTGTGGATTATTTGAATATATGATACATTTACCATGAACGCATTGAGAATTTGAATAACTTTGAATGTTTTCATTCTTTCGTGGTATAATAACTATAAATGCTAGACGATTAACAGGTAAAAATAAAAATTTTATTGTCAATAACAAACTTCCTCGATAACTTAATGAAACTTTTTCATAAATATCAATATGTATTGAATAATTTTTTGTTGGATCTTTAGGTCGAGTTGAGTAGAGTAGATAAATATTAAATTTGATTTTACAATCTCTTACCGATAAATAAGTAATTTGTTCATGTGAATAAATGATTCTTTCGTCACTATCATCAATTAGAGAAATCATCATTGCAAATAATATTGACCAAGAATCTGAGAATGCTTGAAATTTAACAGTTAAACTTACTCGTTGATTTTGATACTGACATTGATCACCATAAAAACTAGGTGGACAAAGACATGTATTTGTTGTTAAGTTCTTTTCATTGTTTAACCAAACACGTAAATCAAAACCACGATGACATCTTGGTTGATATTGATGAGATTTTTGCATGATAGATGCACTTGAAAAGACTGACTTTGTCACAATCTTCGTTTGATCTTCGAAAGTTTTGCTCATTTCATCTAATGACAAATAGTTAATTAGTTTTATACACTTGTCTTGTAATGTGCTACATAGAAATTCTTCGACATCAGATCGCCTTGATGAATAAGATGCACCGCATATATTTTTATCTGTGAAAATAGCTGTTAAATTTTTTGCACAAAATTGTTCATCTTCTCCATCGTCACAGTCTTGGCTACCACTACATAGATGCATCGAACCAATACATACAGGTAATGTTTTAATGTAACAATAAAATCCGGTTTGTATATAACCTAGACTTATATGTTTGCATAGTTTTGGCTCGTCAGTAGCACCAAGACAATCGATCTTACCATCATTTGCTTTCTTAGCAGATAAACATATAAGTTGATTTGTGTCAGATGAAACACATTTATGATGATCTTTAAAACAATTTAATGTTGGAGATAAATCACAACCAATTTCACCTTCACCATTTGGACAATGCCATATTTCATCACAACGAGTTTGAATGTTATTACATGGCCATTGTTGACATTCTGTTTCATCTGTTTCATTTTTTCCTTCAATATTTATTGAAGCCAGTTGAATAAATCCATTACAAATAGATTGAAATGATGTATTCTTTTCAGCATAAGTAGTATATAAATGTTCATCTTCACATCAAGTATAGCCATTAACAGGACAGTCACAGAATCCATCTTGCAGACGTGAATGATGAATGTACTTGTTAGATATTTTGCATATGAAATAGGTTTCTAAAAATGTTCTCATACCGATTCTACTGATTTGCACAATATTTTCGTCATCTTTTTCAGGACAATCGAATTTATTGTCCAAGATACGATTTTCTGAGATACACTTCGACGAATTGACACATTGGTACAAATTTGATATATTACAAATCGTAGAAGTATAGTCAATAATTTTATTGTATCTCCTCAATTCTTGGAATAATAAGTATAAATACGGTGAATATTGCATCATCCATGAAAAATAGGGTGCAGACAAAGCCAATTTGTGCAATTTAGGACGGAAACACGTTCTGTTGTTGAATAAAATCTTTGGCTGATCACTAAAATACTCATCATAGCGAGAATTGTTATAGCACACATAAGGGTATGTAAAATTTTCAGCGGCAAAAATGAATGAGTCATTTTTTGTATATGCCATGTAAATGTTACCAAAAAAAGTGGAAAATTGGGAATGTAAAACATGTCAGGACATGTGTTCTGAATAATCTCTAGACATGCTAAGTTTTGACAAATATTATTACAATATAAATAATCTGAACTTGGTCCATGTATGATACATATAAAAGCTGACCAACATTGTTCAGATGTTGAATTGTCTTTTATCGAATAGATTCTCTGCAATAGTAGATCTATGCGATGTTGAACACAAGAACTTGTCAGAAACGTTATCTCACATATTTTTTCTTCGCACTTAAATGACGGTTTATCTGTAAGACAGTTGGCAATATGGTTCAAACGTATGAAACCCTCGTCAAAGCTATCAACACAATCAGGATTATTGAAATCATCTTGACAAAATGACTGTGATATACATTGTCCATTAGCACACTGATATTCATTATCATTACATTGATTAATTTCAAGTTGCCAACAATGTTCTTCATCGAATTCACCATCAAGACAATCTATTTGTCCATTACAGATATCAGTCCAATCTAAACATGTAGGAAAAGAGTCACGATTACATTGTAAATGAGTATAACAAGTAAAATTAGTTGAACGATATTCATATGCACGATAATAATCATCAATAATTTCATATTGACACATAGAACCAAATCTTGGTAAAGTACAATTATAGAAAATTTGTGTTTCCAAAGATTTATCATTTAATGTTGATAATTGATTTAAATAAAATTGATAACGTTCAACCAGATCTATTGATGCTGACCAAAGATATAATTGTTGACTCGTAATATTCTGTTTCAAAAGATCAACAAAGGTAAAATTTGAAAAGATATCATTATTCTTGATATGAAATTTTGATGACAAATCATTCATACAATAAGATATAATTTCACGATTAACATTTGATTCATCAATAGAAGCAGGTACAACGTAAACAATCATGTTGTAATTCATGATTATTTTCACTTATCCAATCTGTATGATGAAGATTAACTTGAGGTTTAGCAAAAATGAAATGTAAGAGAACAAAATTGAACAGAAATCTTACACGAAACATTATCTACTGATCAATTGAGTGAAATTATGGATATTATATTACGGGATATTTATAGTATTAATATATACATATTTCCTATTATGTTTTTTTTTCTTTTTTCCATTTATCACTGTCATGAAGACATATGAACAAAAAATGTGCTTGTGTGAATACCCGATTGACGTCATTTCTATGTATGGAATTTTTAATAAAAGTCTGAATAGTTATTATAATTGATGGTCCTTCTTTAAGAGTAGTTATAAGAGTTTTATCTGCAACAGCGATAGGCGAATAGGAACTCAAAAACAATAATGCATGACGTTTTTTTAAACAAAGAATTTGTTAGAAGTTCACAATTATATTAGTATAAAAAAATATTTGTTTCATGGGTAAATTTAGAATTAGGGAAATAAAGTAATCTTTATATCAAAACAACAATTCTCTAATCTATTAACTGATGAGTACATGTGTGAAATGATAGTTCGTGAGACGGTTTAACACCTTAAAATGTTAAAACTTTTTTTTGTTTCCAACAAAGATGCTTGTTAAAAATGTATAGTGGTTCTTTTCAAAATGAAATCAATATTAGTCAAAGACATTTCAAACCCTTTGAAGATATTATCAATCGAAAAAAATTTTCAATTTTCCATTCATGAGGTTCAATACTAAGAGATTTTGTTTAAAAACTTTTTGATAAAAGAATTAACAATGATCTTGATAAGATTCATCAAATATATAACAAACCTTGGATTAATCATCTATATCCTGGTGTCACTCGTTTAACAAATCAGAGCACAATTTAGAAATACAACGAATAGTCAGATTTGTAGAAATAGAATTTTCATTCGGTTTGACTTTTTATTCTCGACATATTTAACATCTATAAAAGGACCATCGACTTCTTAACAGAATTCTTACTCAATATTGTCTTTTAAAGTCATTTAACTGTTGTAATTCCCTTGATAATTAGAAATAAATTTAAGACTGATTAACACNATGATCACTCGCACTGTGATTGTCATTATCAATGCTATCATTATGATTAATTGTACTGTCGCTAATGGTGTTTGTAAAGCGAAAGTGGTCACTTGGATTGCCCTCATTACTGCATTGATGACTATTCCCGTTGTTGGTGGCGCTAGAAAAGTTACTACTCCCAGTGCTATTATTATCAAAGAAGTTTCGGTTGTTGCTAGCACTAGAACTACTAGCACTGTTACCATGACACTTATTGCCACCACACTTGTTGCTGAATCCATTAGGTACTTGTTCTAAAATATATAATTGATAATATGTATCAATATAACGATTGATCCAGAACAAATGAGCCACTTTTGTACCTTATTTTTCTTCGTATTAGCAACTACGAAAAGTATTTAAAATAGGTTTATTTGATGATGAATTTAGTTTTCTGCAATCGTATTGTTTGAATTAAAAACAGCATGCATTCTATTTGCACAATATCAAAAAAAAAGAACAAAGCGTTCAAGTTGTGAACTAAACCCGCATCAAAACAGAAAGTGATTTTTATTTTGTGCTCTGCTATTCACAAAATTTTAGACATAATGAAAACAATACTTTGTGAGTCTGTCTCGTATCATTTATATTTCGAAATTCGAATTATTAAAAATGTGTTTTCAAATGAAAATTCTGAAGGCAGAAACATGGAAATCTTCGATTTTGCGCTCGTCTTCTAAGTATTTCAGTTTTTCTGAGATATGATCTCAAAAAAACTTATGTTGCCTTTAATTAGACATCTAGTCTTGTGCCAGACAATATTTTGTAACTTGTTGATATGAAAAAATCCTTTCAAACAGAAAGATACGAACTAAAGACCAAACTATTTTTACGTGATACCGGAGAATGCTACGCTTACTACAAGAAGTAGCATTGCAAATTGCAATAGAACATCCCAAAATCTCTGGTACGCAAACGTGATAGAGCGCAAAATTATATATCTATTGACACGAAACTGTTTTTGCTTTTAAGCTTTTCAGTACCCAAGTACGTATTGCAAAGGAGCGGTAAAAATGTGATGCAGTTCACAACTTTAATGCTTTTTGTATTTTTAACATTGTGTAAAAAGAAAGCATGCTACTTTTAATTCAAATAACGCCTTTTGTAGAGAACAAAATTCTTTATCAAGTGAATTGATTTTGGATTTTTCACACAATTATCAACGTCGAGAGAAATACGATACAAAAAGGGCTTATTTTTTCCGGGTCACCTGTTAGTAGAATAGAGCGATAATGCTGAGAATAAAAAACTATCATTATCGTCATATGGAAAGTAAAAGAATGTTTAATAGACTTTTCCTACTTCTATTGTAAAGTTTTAAACTTTTCTCTTGCGAAGCATTACTTCTTAGTTAACATCTTGCTTTTTATGATCTCCAAAATATGAACTACTGACGAAATCGATGAATATTTTCCAAAATTTCATTTTATTTGTTTGTAAGGAGATGGCTGTGGCTGTGAATGGGTGTGGGCATAGATGGAATTGGTCTAGTTTTTTGAAGACCGGTACCAGTCTGAAAAATTTTAACCGGATCAGACCGACCAGTGTATCTTTTTTTGGCCGATCTACTGGTATAGCGTAATAGGTCGATTCTTGCAATGATATTTCTTTTAATAGTGAACTCTTCCAATTTTATAACTTACAGCATGAACCTGAAATAGCTGAACACTTGTATGCAAATATTTAATATGTGATTTTCGGTTGAAAAAAAAAAAACTTCAATGTCAATATCAAGCTATTATGATTATTGTTGCCGATAAACACAGTGCATACTTTGTTAGGCTAAGGTGTTGGAAACAATGAATGTACTATGATAGTGCGATGAAATCACATTTGATACATGAGTATTACGATTACTTTTATTTTTCAGCAGAAGATCATAAATGGAACATTAGTACACAAACTTTGAGGAATTTCAGATTCATGATCTGAGTTGTTAACTTGAGACAGTTCATGATTAAAAAAACGTTTCATTGTAAGAATCGACCTATTACAGTTGTACCGGTAAATATCGGTAAATCAGAAAAAGAACCGGTAGGCTGATCGATCCAGAATTCGGACCAGTACCGGACTGTCCGATTGTGAGCACTGGCTCCATCTATGGGTGTGCATGTGAACATAGATTTGCAGGTGAATAGAAGAAATTAACATACTCACACCCAACGCCCACATGAAACAGGCATCTCCTCCGTCACACTCTATTTGAACATACCGTAACTGCGAGTTGACTGTTTACTCATGTTGTCACCACTGAATTCTTTGTCAGCAGAAAGTGGACGAGCCTCAGAATTCGGTTTGACATGCCCAGACTCAACCGTCGGTAACAGACATACACCGCCATAAACTCGAGATTGTGAACTATTCTTGTTCATGAATACAGCAGGCACCCATGCGCATATCTGATCATCAGTCTCTGCAACAGAAAACATATGAACTATACGAACAAAAATGATCGATGACATACTCACCTATAAATAAAAGGTTCTCTGTTTCTAATGATACATTTAACTTTTTAATTTCGTTTATCAATCTTTGCTTGTAGTCTGTAATAGCCTTACGAACGAATGAGACAAGTTGAACTGCTGCATCGCTTTTACTGGACCACAGGGCTGGAGTTATTTTGCTACTCCAATAAAGCCATCTATCAATAAGTATTCGTACTTCAATCGTTCCACTTAGATAGCAAAATTTGCGCACAAAGTCAACCATATTTTCCAGCAGTTCACTATCATATTTCTCAAAGTCAGAATGTATTTTGCTCAGAATATCGTTCTTATCTTGGTACGAAATATCATAGCTTGACAAATTATGATGACGCAGTATTTCCCAATATTCATGATCGATATTATGGCGAGTATTTAAAGGATATTCTAAATCAAGACGAATTTGACACAGATCGTTACAAATCCATTGAACGTCAATGTCTTCAGCGATGTCTTTGTTTAGAGATGTGTACCGATGTCGCATAAAGGTAAGCAGAACGCCCAGTTTAGCTAATTCTTGGAGGCGAAGAAACTCGGGAAAATAAGCACCGATTTCTTCGTAATTATCGGTGAAGGCTTTTGCAAATTGAGCTTCCGGAGATCGGTCTGGTTCGCTACCAATGCTATTATCATCGACAAGCGTACCCTCGTCGTCGTATCTCAATAGATGTTGCTTCACATACATCGGTACATCGCCTATGCGATAAATAATCTCGTTTGTCTCTTTACTTATTGTGCATTCGTAGATAGGATCGCCTGCTTCAATCCAGAAGCGATGCATATTACCACGACTGAACAATTTATTACGCATTTCAATTGGCTTTAACAAACCTTGTAGACGTTTTGGTAAGCGTTTCATAAATCCTTCACTTGTTTCACGCATAGGAAACGGCCATTTAGAATTTATTTCCATGCCTGTTGTCATGAATTTCAGTAGATAATCCGTATGAAGTAGTGTTGCCAGATATTGAGTTTTCATGAGACCTGCTGGAGCATACTTCATCTTTTGAAATGGATGCGAGAGAAATTCATTATCTGGCTGATCAAGTGTGAAAATTGCTTTTGTAATACCCTTCATAAACACATCTGCGATGTCATTACTGCCAAAGAGAGCTGTGTGTCCTGGATATCGAGCCGGAACCAGCAAAAAGGTAACTTTTCCTGTAATGATATTAAACTTGATTCCGTCAACTTTTGTGTAACGTTTTCGTCCCGATATAGCAAGGGACTTTCGTTGGCTATGAAGCCAGCCTTCAGATGTTCGCGGAATTAATGGATCATTTAATAATAATTCGACGTCAGATATCTCCCATTGTTTACTTGTAAGTAAGGATTTAATTGATTTCTGCCGAATAGATTCAAAATCTTCATTAACAATCCATTTATCCCACATGCCTTCTAGTAAATAATAATTATAAAAATATTGTTGATAGTTATGATCTGCTGCCATTTTTTTCAGATATCTTCGCAAAAATTCAAAAGTAACAATTTCTGTGAAAATTATATCATAACTAAGTAAAGGTCTTAATTGCATAATGGGAACTAGTTTAGTAAAGCTAGTCATATAATGGAAGATTTGATTTACGATACGCGTATGCCTTGAAGGCATTATGAAATCGATTTTCATACTGGATTGACGGTTAACTATTGGCCTTACAAGCTTAGTAAACAAGCGGCTTGTGTGTACGAATAGTGACAGAACTAATCTATAGATATACATCTGCATGCATGGCGCTAGGTGTTGTCGAGCAAGAAGAAATGCATTTATAGCAAGCTCATTTATCAGGTTTCGGTAGGCATAGGATCTGGATTGATCTTGTGAACATGAAGTCATCCGAGACAGGCCTTCGTACAGATATATACAGGCAAGAATCCAATTTGATGCAATACAAGTTCGATTGGATACAGCCATACAAAGGTCCAAGTAAGCCATAGCACATTGGAATGGGTCGTCGCTAAGTTGCTTTACAATGCCTTTTTCGTAATGCTGAAGTAGCGTCACAAGAGGACTCGGTTTTAAGCGATTTTCATTTTCGAACAGTTTCGGCGGTGATATTATAGGCATAATCAGATATTTGATTTTAGAGAATTCTGCAATTGATAGATTGAAAATATCAGATAGAAGTAACTGAATTCCCATTCTGTGCAACAATGGATCCTTGGTCAAAATAACAAGAGCTAAAAATTCCTCTTCTGAGTAGCAACATATCGATGCTTCTTGAAGTTTCTGGACAAAGTCAACGTATTTATCTTGTAGTTTGGCCACGGTTGCATCAATAAGATACAGCATGACTTTAGTTTGAGTTGGAAAACAATCTAACGACCTGGTGCCATGATATTCTTTCAGAAACTCTGTGAGAGCATCAACACTTGTAACATCTTGTAAACAGTTAGCCAGTTCAATGACGGACATATGCATGGCTTCTTTAACCTTGCCATAGTCACGAGTAAACATATATTTATCGTATTGTTGTCGAAGGGGAGCTAATAAATGACTATGTGAATTAGATCGCGCTTCAAGAAGATGAAGACCTCCAACAAATTCTTTTGTCGATACTGAAAGATCATTTAGTAGACGCAAATTCATATTCATCAATGATGAAGACATGGGTTGCTCAATTTTATTCAGGTGATGCAAGGCTGAAATAATAAATTGACTGTTACTTTGATACTTTGCATCAACAATCTGGCTAATGTATTGAACACTATTGCAAGTAACAGAGAAAATGTCTCGTGCATTTCTAAAGATAGCAACAGCATACCATAACGAGATAGAGTCTGGTAGACCAGGAAGTAATGAAAGAATGTGTTCTAAAGCTGCTGTACAATTATCCAATGAGCCTCTTACACCTTTAAAGAAACAGTTAAGAGCTGTATCATAATTTGTCTCCTTCAAATGACTTCGTCCAAGTTCTAACCAATCACATCGAGTTAAGTCTTTGAGATCGAATGTGATTGAATCATTTTCGATTATACCTTGATCAATCCATTCAAGTGATACCGCTGTGTTTAGCTCGACTTGAACTTTATGACAAATCAATACTTTGTCGTATTGTTTTGGTTCGGACAGAAATTGTTCTTTAAGTACATTCCAAATATAATCAAAGTTTTGTAGGTGAACGAGTGCCGCAATCGCAAGAATATTGTTGATATTGGGAATCTCAACAATTGGTTTGAGTCGATCTATCATAGGTAATTCGATCTTGTTCGCTTCTTCGCAAAAGAATCGTACTACAGGATTCGCACAGATGCCTATATATTTGATCGTCTGGAAACTTAGAGTCTGAAGAAGAGCGGCTGCGCCATCATATTCCGAATTGTCAATCAAAGTCTGTAGTATTGTGTTCCATTCTGAGGCAGATAGTTGGGCTAGATGTAGACAGCAAAGACCAACAGAGCGTTTGTGTAGTTGATTGAGTCGAGATTCTCCGTTCATTTTCCATTTCGACGATGTTTGCCTATGTATTTGCATTACGTAGTGAACGAGAAATAGTCTGATATGTGCATCAGATTCATTTGCAGCTTTTTGTAAGATTTCTTCCCAACTTAAATCAGCCTCTTTATAGACGAGTAAAGCTAATACGATTGAGTCGTAAGAACCAAGTGTATTGACTTGGTTTTTTCGATAAGCATCACCCAAACTAACCCAATATTGTGTAGATCGTTCAAATTGACGAGATATAATACGAAAACATGTTGCTGCTTCGTCATATGCATTCATATGAATCATCATTTGAGCTAGTGAAAACCAGTCATTTTCTGATTGATGAATATAATTCGCATACGGAAGAGCAATTTTGAATTGCTGATTCGAAAGTAAACGCAATCCGATTGATCCATAGAATACATCATTTTTAAATTCATATGCTTTAAGTAGAGCCAGATACTCTGCCATATATTCGTATTGTTCTAATTCGATTTGCTGCTGGATATATTGGCAAAGAGTTTCGATTATAACTTTTATTTTCTTTTCACTACAAGACTTACAAATAGCTACAGGAAACAAGTAGCCGATATGACGGCACGTTTGCCACTGAACACATTTTTCACACGTCAGTTTATCACACATCCGACATCGGTATTTTTTCTTAAAGAAGCTGAATGTCTTATTGCAGCTAGAGCAAATCGATTCATTTGTATGAGATAGATATATCAACGGTGACTGAGGGACATCATAGACAAGACGTTTAAGAATGGGATGGTTTTCATCTTGAACAATGCATACTTTCCCAAACCGACGACATTCAAGATCTTTATTAAATCTTGATTTGGGAATTTTTTCAGTGGGTGATGTATACGTACGATTTTCAATATCGATTAAGTTTTTTAGACTTGTAACGTCGGAAAGTGCCGTTAGAACTTTCGAAGTGGTAAGAGCGACCACAATTTGTTTCGTGAGCAAATCGGTGTCTTGTAATAGTTCATAGAACTCTCGATCAGTTCTGTCTGTACCAGTCAATATTGTATGAGCACTTTTCATTTTTTCTACCACCGTTTTGAAATTTCTCCATTCAGAACTCTCCCACATCTGTCTATAAACTGATGGTGCGTGTGAGATAGGTTTCCATTTCCAACCTTTTGAAGATATTTTGGCTAACTGTGAATTGAATTCACTTGCATGCGTTGCCAGATATAATAAATAATCATTAGTTCTACCTCGAATATGTTCCTTCATATTATAAACAAATTCGTGACATGTCAAACATTGTTCGATAGGATTTTGAATCTCTTCCATATGCTTATCTAATGTTGATGTAATAATTGAATTGAATTCTTCTTCATAATTGTCAACGAATGTTATCGATGAATATTCATTCATCCATTTCGCGATTTTTTCTTCATACATTTTTGATAACCGATTTCCTATATGTAACATAGGAAGATTTGTATAAGGTGCTCTTTCACTATTATCGATATTAAGTCCAGTATCATATTTTTGTTTGAGTTCTTCATTGGATAATGTCTCGTACGCTTTTTGAAGAAGCTTGAACAAAATTTCAGAATCGATGTTGTTCAAGTTCTTGTCAGGATGCCATTCAAGTGCTCGTTTCTTGTATGCTTTACGAATCATATCTTCGGATGCACTTGGATTGATACCGAGAACCGTGTAGAAACATGAAGCACTGTCCAAATCCGATAGAATTTTGGTAAAACGACTGTTTCGATTATTTCTGTTCATAGTATTTTTCTAGAAAATCAATTTCCAGAGCATAGTTTATGATCAGAGCATTTCTTTTCTCGGAAGTTTTAATGATTATTAACATTTTGTATGTGCTTTAAAGATATTATGGTAACGCTTAGGCTTGTTTCATATCGGCTGCTCAGTCTATCTTTGCTAATATGAGTACGGTGCCAAACAATAAGAAATCTTTTAGAAAAAGATATTATTTTACTTATTTCTTGTATCATTATATTCTACAGTGAGCATCACTGGTTTACCTATGTAAATATCAAACGTAGTTTTGTCATAAAATGCATCTAGACGCGTTGTCTGATGATAGTGCTTGTACGCAGTTAAAAATAAATTATAGACACGTCTGAACACAACTTTATATGAAATGCAAATGGACATGGTTTTAAAAAATTAAAATACCGATAGATGTGTTCTTTCTTAAAATCGCATCAACATGCAGCTGAAGAAATTATTTGAACGTGCATCGACGCGGTTTTTGTTTAAACCGCGATTGACTCTGGTTAACACATCAGGGTGTGTATGAGTGCAAAGTGTAGGTGTTGTGGCTACGGCTATGAGTGTTATGTGCGGTTGTAGGTGGCACGAATGTCAGCACAGGATGGGCTGCAGAATGTGGGTTGGAGGGTGCGGATTTTGAGTGTGGGTGTGGAACTTAGGTGTAGGGCGTGGCTGTCAATATGGACGCTCTCTTCACATCACCACGTCCATACTCACACCTACATTCACATCTTCATTTTTCATCGTAGTGCTATTTATAGCGGATACTGTATGCTATGCATTATAGGCGTCAAATTAAAATGCTCATCACTTTGAAATGAAGTGATAAGAACCCAAACTCTTCAAGGATTTTTACTAGAACACTGAACAATACCTATAAACAACAAATCATTGAACCCGGTCGTAGGTCAAGTTAGCACCCGATTCGGGTAATTATAGCATTGATTCGTCCAGGAAGCGTTCGAGTCGTTTTCCAAGAGGGTTCGAAGTGATCTATCGAACGATGAAATCAGATTTAAGATATTAGAAACCATTTGTGAAAAAATTCAAAAATACTGTTTTTCCCCATGAGTCGCAGGTAACCCTGGGAGTAATTTCAGCATCGATTTGCTGAGGGAGCATTCTAGCTGTTCCCATTTGTACCACGAGTAGTTTTCGATAGGTTCAATCTACGAACTACGAGAAAATGGCCTGGAACATATTCTATGCGCGACGATGCTAAAAATACTGCAAGCGTTTCCTGTGATCCATATGGAAAAAATAGTATTAGTCAATTGTTAAACTAATGGTCGAAGATATAGCAAATCTTAGTACACCACTTGATAGAGCAAGTCAAAATTGACTGGTAGCACAATTGAAAACACCTGGAATGCATGCTATGCGAATCGATGCTGAAATTACCCAGATAGAACCACGTGGGACAAGAGAGAAAACTCGCATTTTCTAGCTTGTTAGCAAAAGCTGGAGGACATCAAATTCGACACCACCATTTGATGAAGCACATCGACTTCGATTTGGAAAACAAGCGAAACAACCTGAAACGCTTCCTGGGTGAACCGATGCTGGAATTACTCGAATTGGGTGCTACCTTCATCTACGCTGAAATCGAAGGAAGCATCTAAAAAAATTCCGTTATAAATCTTCTAAACACTCATCTATAAACTTCTTTCATCATGAAACTACTGAAAGATAATATATCTGCATTCAATTTTACTTCTCAAAGAAAAAACTTTTACCATACTATGGTATACAAAATAATGTGATACTCTTGAATTTTCTTATTTCGATTACTATCTGGTATTGAAAAATACTTTGACAAGTAACAGTCAATACCTTTAGTTATTTATTGCGCATGTAGATAAAACACAGTATATAAAAGCGTAAAAGAGAAGAATACTTACTTAGAACATTTACTCTGGCAGCTGGTTTACTTTCTGATTAGCTTATATCAGTACTACCGAAAAACTTCCTTTCTTCCAACTTTCAGTCATTTTTTCAAGAAAATTGACATTATGAGTGGATTTACATATGGCTTTCTTTCATATGGCAGCGAATTTATGCCAACCACTTGAATACATAAAATATCTCAACTGTGAGTATCACTCTAATTGTGAAGACAAATATGTGTAATCAGACGGAAAAAACACCTTTCAACGAAGAAAAAACAAACCTCTTCTTCTTCTTTCCTATCGAGAAACCATGCAAATGGTACACTAAATCCAAGCAGACGAGCGTAAGAAAAAGTCACGCTCAATTACGGCTCATTTTCTACAAAAATTTTCAGAAATGGATCTCAGTAAGCAACCTTTAGTCTATTGTGAATGGCATATGAATATCTGATACCATTAGTTCGTCAGTACTTTGCAAAACAAGTGAGCCTGGATGTGAGTGGTGCAAAACGCTCCTAGATTATAGTTGTTGTGCAGGACAAACAGTCACTAGAATAAGAACCTCTTTAATTTCTGCATTTCCAACAGATTTTTTTAAATTTTTTCTACGGGCATCCTATTTCTTGCTACATTGTTTCCATTCGCTCATTAGTTTTCACGCTTTTAAAATTCATTTTTCTTAATTTAACATTATTATTATTATTATCATTGAGCTAATTGACAAATAAGTTTGTTTTACATATTTATGATATCTACAGCAAATCTTACGCACTATCATATATATTAATCAACTCACAAATAATAGTATTCATTATTTTTCAAAATTATAACTTGATCAATTTTACAACAAAAACACTCTAGAAAATCGGATTCCTATTATTCACGATTGCTATGACCTGTAATGAAGGTGTCTGTAATGGGAGCTTCTTCTGATATGGGTCTTTAATGGGGAGGAAAAACCGTGAAAACTTGACTTTAAAACTTACACTCACGATTTTCTTCGAAAATATATGAGTTCCACAAAATCACTTCGTTAAAACGAACATTTATGCATCAAGCATTTCAATCGACATGAAACGCCAAAACTGATCTAAAAACAAAGATCATTAGACGATTAATTTAATAATAAAGATACTTCTCTGAAATAAAAGCACTCGTAGAACAAGAGAGACACTTGTTTCAGATTAAAAGATGTTCGAATTCGAAGTAAAATAACTTTAGAAAAAAAAAACATCAATAGTTTAATTATTGAACAATGATTCTCAAGGAAGCAAATATATGATAGCACGTAGACGTATATTAAAGGATTCATTTCAGATATTTTTCTTACTCATAGATTACAAAATTCTTTTGAAAAGTACGAATGTGCAGTTTATTTGTGTAATGTATATCATCTCAGTCAATGCCCTTCACAGTTTCTCTTTTCATTATTCTATTAAAACATTTGTTGTCCGTTTTAATGAACTAGCTGATTTATTCGAAAACTGCTAGAATAAAAATGAAACAATGTAATGTACAAAAGAAAAAAAATGAGCTGTTCATTTTATAATGGATTGACACACGAAGCAATAATTTAATGCTTGTGAATACCTTCATGTTCTCAAACATCACGTCCATGAACTCCATGACCATTACCATGACCGTTATCATTATTGCAAGGTTTACATCCACCAAGTTGACCAAGTGTACAAGTCAATGTTGAAAGAATTGAAGCCAAAAGACTTTGAAGTGCAATTCTTAATTGTTCCAATAATGCAAATAATGGTCCAAGAATATTGGCTATCAAAACACTTATCAAATTTTGAAGACTGAGAAGAGAATTTAAAACACGTGCAACACGAATAGTAAGTTCTTGAGTTAATGTAGGAAGTAGTGTCATAATATTGTTGTTTATGAAATTGATAATTGTTTGGAATGCATTATTAATATTAGTTATTTGTGTTTGAACAACATTTGCAAGATTACCAAGAAGAATATGACCAAGTTTATTTAATTGATTCTGCAATAAAAAATAAAAATTGTCTCGTGTTCTGTTTGTTCATTTAGAAAGTATAGAAATGATTTTTTTGACTTACCAATATATATTGTAATGTGACTTGTAAAGTACAGTAAAACCTCTCTAATCTGAACACCTTCGGGACTAGTAAAAAACGTTCATAATAAGGAGTTGTTCATAAAGGAGAAGTCTGTTTCCAGCAAAAATCGATTTTTGGGACCGGCTAGAAGTGTTCATAATAGCAAGGTGTTCATTAAGGAGGGGTGTTCACAAATAGAGGTTTTACTGTATTTGTAACACTTCCAAGAACCTTAAGAACTAATTTTACGAATTGTCCGACAAGATGAATACAACGCTGTAGAATTTGAGTAAGAGCAGTAACAATATTATTTAATAATGGAATTGCATTAATTACAGCATTGTTGATCGCATTAACAGCATCGAAAATAGTACTGAAAGCATCTTGAAGATCACTTCCTACATTTGACTCATTGGCAGACACAATTTGAAGCAGATCAGCAAGAATTACTTGAGTAAGATTTGATATTTCTGTTATGTTCATATTATTATTAAGAAAATTAATTTGTGTTCTAATTTCAGTTGTAGTTTTTCTAATAATAATTTTTGCACCATTAACTGTATATTCTAAGTCTGCTTCTGACAAGACCAAAATTAACTATATTGGCATTGACACAAAAAAGTGCTAAAAGTACAATGCAAATGATCAAAACCAATCGAGTCATAATTATTTGAAAGAGTTGCTATGCTAATATTGCAAAATGAAGAGAAACGAATAACTGACGATTTTGTTGTAATTTCTCCCTAGTTTTTACATGTTGAAGCTGCATACGAAGATAGATATGGGTGTATGGGTATGAAACTGTATGACGCCATCCATTAACTAATAGTTTTACTGAAAGTATCCTTTTACGATTTATTTATTATAGCACAATGAGAAGTGTGTAGTTTATTAAATAAAAAAGCTATACATAACTTTCGTGATAGCTGAAGGACGACACTTCATTATCATTTTTTTTCTCAATAGACGTTAACTTATTAAGCAAGTACCTATTATCTATCACTGTTTGATAAAGTCGACTGCGAATACCTTTTATTTCATTTTGCATAATTTACACTTAAAATCACTGGTTGTTATAATGCACTCAATGATCAATTTGAGTAATGTACGTATTTATATCACAGTAGTTTCGAGACGCAATAAGAAAACATTTTCAGTATCTTCAAAGTTTTGATCATCATAATGTTTTCGTGTAGGCTGTTGAAAATTATCTTGCTTCGAGAAATGCTCTGTAGGTGCTAATTTTATCTTTAGATGAGAAACAAAATTTAATAATCCGATGAGTTTATTCAAACTGAAGAATCTATAGAAATAAAATAATCAACCTAACTTTATGAAACTATTTTATATATTGAATTTGAAAAGCTATATTGAAAAGAGTCAATAGATATCAATATTTATCTTTTCTACTGATAAATAGTCATTTTTATCAAATGATTCGATGAATTTGTTACGCTAGAAGTTCATATAGAATTTGAATTCAAGAAGAGCAATATTCAACTGACTCCAATAATTTCATTAATTTGTTGCTATTTCATAACTTTGAACATAAGCCTTTTGTTTACAGATCGAAGTTTCAAATAAAATATAACGCAGTCCGCGACCACAGCTGCATGTCCTATAATAATATGTCTGACAATATTAGATAATCAGTATTATTATAAATAAAATTTATTTATTTGATCGAATAAAAATATTTTCTCTCCGATGAAAATCTCGTCCCTTTTTTTATGATACAGAAAAATCAATTTTTTTTCTTTTTTGCTTTGAAAGAAAAGATCAACATGAGCTATTCTAAGGTCAATTGAATAGAACACCTTGAATAAGCAACATCATATATAATGTGATTATAATATTGAATTATGATGATGAATTTGTTTCGTTTAATCACTTATGATGGAAAATAATCTGATCTTAAGTTTGCCTACTTTTCTTCTTGTATAACATTGTCGATTTTTCAGATTCACTTTTTATAAACTTAGAAATTGAAATTATTTTATTTTCATCATTATTGAAGTTATTTGAGTGTTTTTGAAAGAATAATTATTATAACTAAAGATTGTCCATGTGAAATCATTTTGATTATTTTACAAGATTTGTTTCAAAACAAAAAAACCTACAAAGCTGTTAGTATAATCCTTGTGGGATTCAAATACGTAACAAGATTTAGCTATTCTTGCTAATTAAAGGTAGATTGTTTTCCTTTATCTATTTTGAGACACACATCTTCACCATTCTTTTATCAAGTCCTTCAGAAATACAATAAGGAAGCACTTCATATGTTAGAATGAGACATTATTGAAAAATGATTGAACATCGTATATCAGCGATGTCATACACCGCTTGTGATTAAAAGAGAGGATGTTGCTAAAGCGTCTGCCACGGTCTGTGGGAGGAGAAGAGTGTATCCAAATTTGTACCTTATATACTTCAACACTCCATTTAGATCGTGTTTTACAAAAGAAATTTACGAATGATGTAAACAGCCATATTAACGTATGTTTTGAGTAACAAATGAAACATAGGTGTGATTTATACAAAAATTAACATGAGCTGCGTCATTCATTCAATGAATCTTTCTATTTTGATCATTTTTTACTAAACAAATATGTATGTACGTAAAGGACGAAAACTCTCACATGCCTATGTTATAGATTGAGTAAAAGAACAATACCTTTTAATTTATTAATATTTATACATTTTGGTCACATGATTAGTCACGTATCATGATTATATGCCTTCAAATTGGTTTATCACTTAAACTGTTTTTTTGTTTTAGAAAAACTCGAATAATTATTCATTGTTTATTTGATTTTTTGAAATAATTTAAAGCATTACAAATGAAAATTTACTTCGTTTTATTTTCAGTTGCTTTCCCTTTTTTTGAAATATATGTAAATATTAACGAGTCATTTATAAATATTTATATTCATTTATAATTATTAGAATTTTAGATGATTTTCTTCAAATAGAAAATATTCTTGTGAAAATCAAGTCTTGTTAAAAAAAAAATCTACGATTCTTCTTTGTTTTTTTTATATAAACTTCTATTAATTTAAAATGTCTGATCAGTTATAAGCAAATCAACAAATTTTAATATTAAAAATAAAAGAAATAAAAATAATGTATTAATGGATATCAATATTATTCAAATAGTAATCATAATCATTTTTAAAACCACTCCGATTTCAATATTTTGAAAGTAATGAAAGAGAAAAAAATTCTTGTATATATCTATATTTATCTGTTTGCGCAAAATGGAAACGCTTCATCAAAACATAGCAGGAAACTTCAATAGATACTTTCATTGTTCTTTCCTTTTGCTTATGATATAAATATAACAAAACCAACCAAAAATAACTCAATCATGAACTAAGAGAACGAACGTGAACGACACACTCAATTAATCTTATCTATTTAAATAGTATCCTTCGCTTATCTTTACAATTGCATTAATGAATACATAAACCGAAATGTTTTCATTCAAATTATGAATTTAAATAATAAAAATTTCTTAAAGAAATACTGATATATACAATAGATGGCAATGTTAATAATATTCATTAATCGCAATTATTTGATTATAACGAATAAAAAAGTCTAATAAGAGAACTTTATAATGAAAGATATGATATTTTTTTTCATCTTCTGTTTAAATATTTAAAACGATAAAAAATTCTTATCCAATCAGCTTTTTCATATTCGGTGTATGATTTTCAAAGAAGAAAACCTAATTACAATTATTGAAATAACTTTTTCTGTAAAGTTATCTGTTTCAGATCATTGAATATGCTTTTATAAAAACATTTCATGCGATTTAAAACTTTTTCCCAAGACAAAAATGATGTATTAATAGTGATTACTCTTGATTTCAAAATCCATTTAAAAACAAAGGTGCAGTTTTCTAACAGTCTTCATACACACTATAATTAATCGTATTGTTCATTCTTTCTAAATAAAGCTGTTAGTTAAAAGATAATATTGAATCAAAAGACCAACATCAACACAAGAAAATGTTTGAGTCAATAAGTTTTCACTTACTGAGTTATTCGCTAATTTTTGAAACATTAATTTTTAACGTTTCAACAACTAAGTTTTGCATAATCGCAATATTTATCGGTGATATCTAAACTTGATACATATTGACCAATATAATTCTATGAACAAAGAAAATTTCTTGAAAATTTTAAAGAATTTTAATCTAACTATCTTCACTTGTTCAATGATTAGAACAAAACAAATGATTCTTTTATATGATGAGACAAAAAAAACGCAGAACTCAACATCATCCGTATTAATTTTTAAACATTATCCATATTTAGTCGATTAGAGAATGTCACCAATTCTCTATAAAGCCCACATAACAAAATGAACAAAAATAGAGAAATCTCATCGATTATTCTGATTGTTTTTCATTAAAACCGATTTACTAAATATGTAGAAATCGATTACAGCCAATGTAAAGCATACAAAACTGATTTAAAATCCTACCGCTTTTAATCACGTGAAATAGATTAAAAATGATATTTTTCATAATTTTAAATCAGTTATATTCAAAACTAATCAGAATAATCAATAGAAATTCGATACTTTTAATTATTTTTTGATTATAATTGATTAAGTGTGTATTATTTTAATCAATTAAAAATGGATTTGTTGTGATTTTTATTAATATTTTTGCGTGGGAATTATTCCTTTCACTTGATTTTGCAATATTAGCAAAGCAACTCTTGTAAATAATTATGGCTTGAATGATTTTCATCATTTGCATTGTGCTTCGGATATGGATGCGATGTAGAACGTAGGTGAAAAAGACCGACACATGTCCACACCCCCACACCCTAAACACGATTGAGTGTCACATATGAATTGAAATAACAAAAAGACCATATCACTTTTCTTCGCAAGAGCTCCGGTAGCAAATTATTTATTTGCTCTCAATCGAAGTAAAAAGTTTAAGCTTTGCTACTATGCATAACATGTTGAATGGTTATGGCGTAGAAGCGAATTTCGGAGTGGTGCAAAAGGAAATGCATTACAATTGGTTGTACTTTTTAAGACATCATTTCTTACTTTTGTTCTGCATTTCTGGTGGAACGTTCTGTTAATGTACGATTCCACGAGAATAATCGAGCATGAGAAGAGCTATTTTCACCATTAACAGAATGAGACGACCATCCCGTGGCATTGATATAAAATAATCGGTGACAGATAGAGCAGCAAATGTGTTGAACTGTTAGAAAAGTAAGCATAAAGGTTCTATTTATTCTAAATATGAAACATCGTCACTCCACACACGCTAAAAAATAGTTCTTTTTTTCGCAAAATCTAACCCGGTTCTGCCTGCAGATACAAAATCGGAGCCCCTTTCTGCTTTCTATAAAAAAAGGATTGACTGAAACCATTTCTAGACTGTTGTAATAAAACTTTCGTGGAAGAGATTTCGTGGGTGTGGATGTTCGTATAGACAACATCCACACCAC